CACACACACACACACACACACACACACACACACACACACACACACAGTCTCCAGGCAAAGCTCTGTCCCAGCTCAGGGAGGAGGCGGCAGGCAGGCAGGGGAGGGAGACAGCCCCGCAGAGAGGAGCGGAGAAGCGCTAAATATAAATCCCTCTGGTGTTAGGGGTTCCTGGGTCCTTCTGAAGAGGAGGTGGAGGTTTCTACTCACTCCTGAGCCTCTGTCTTACTACTTACCCCTCCCAATCCCTTTGAAGCAAGAACAGTGAAGCCAGACTTCATTCGTTTCTAATAATAATGATGGGGATGCAGGAACAGGGTATGGCAGAGAGAACAGGCAAGAATCCTAGGGGGAGTGGGAGGGTCCTATTCTCTCCCACCAAGGGAGAAGGTCCCCTTCCAGCAAGAAGGACTTAAGTTAGACTCGCAGAAGGACTTCCTAACGGAGATCAAGGGAGTTGGGCACAGACTAGGGGAGGAACAAAGGTCTGAAAAAGTTTGGGCAAAGGGGTTAGGTCTCCAGGAGCCCTAACCACACTCATGTGAAACCTGCTTGAGCTCGACACCCTCAAGCCCACTAGGCATTGTGGGCAAATGGGGTGCCAGATTCAGACCAAAGACCTGGTCTTTTAAAGATTCATGCCTTTGCAGCTGGAAAGAATGAGGTCAGACTTAGAATAGACTGAGGGAGGGAGAGTTGGGGAGGGGGGTCCAGGCACATAGAGGAGGCCTCTCCTTTCTGTCCCCCAAACTCCTGCCTTCCCTGCAGTGGCAGCATTGAAATGAGACCTGGAGAACTCACCAGCATGTATTTTTAATTACACAAGTAAATGTGATTTTATATTTTCCTTGTTGGAAATTCAGAGCTTTCATGTGACCATAAAAGCTAGCATTTTTTAAGTGCTTCACAGGAACTGCTGGTTTAACTCATTGCATTCTCACAACAACCCCATAAGAGGGGGGTTGAAGGATGCCCTGTTACAGATGAGGAGACCACGGCCCAGAGAGGTAAAGTAACCTGCTCAGGGTCACACAGCTGGGAAGTGCCAGAGCTGAATCTGAACCCTGGTAACTAGGACCCAAACGATGCCTCCTCAGCCGGGACCCTGATCCCTCACTTGACTCCCTAAATGCATCCTCTCCCCTGAAATCACCTCTGGGCCCCCTTGTGCGTCCCTCCAGACCTCTTTGATGCATCTTCTGGCAGAAACGGTTTGCATACCCCAAATACCAAGTTTTGCTTTGCTTTTGTACAAACTCCAGTGACTTAGTGGGTGAGGTCCCAGAGACTATGCCAGTGGTTTTCAAAATGAGGCCCACTGGACTAGAGCAGGGGTCCTCAAACTTTTTAAACAGGGGGCCAGTTCACTGTCCCTCAGACCATTGGAGGGCCGGACTATAGTTTAAAAAAAAACTATGAACAAATTCCTATGCACACTGCACATATCTTATTTTGAAGTAAAAAAACAAAACGGGAACAAATACAATATTTGTATTTGCATGTGGCCCGCGGGCCGTAGTTTGAGGACCCCTGGACTAGAGCATCACACAGGGACCGGTTAGAAATGCTATTTTGGGGGCTCCTGCCTGGAACCAGAAGTTCTGGAGGGATCCAGCAATTCGGGTTTTAACATGCTCTCCGGGTAATTCTGACCCATCCCTTCCACTGCACATCCTGCCCTTTCCTTTCTCCACTCAACGCTCTCATCTTGGGGATGGTTCCGTGCAGAAATGGCTTCCTTCCATTCTTCCTGTTGTATAGCACTCTGCTCTACACATTCATTCCTTCGAGGAAACTTTCCTGAGCACCTACTTTGTGCCAGGCACTGTTCTAGGCCCTGGAGGTTGGGAAGGTGCAGGGGTGAACAAAACAGTTAAGCCTCTCTGCCCTCCAGGGCCTGACATTCCAGTGCGAGAGACAATAAACAAATGCCAACCTGATCTATAACTTTAAGCCGGGAGGGCATTACCGCTGTGTAGGGGAAAAGGCAGGGCACCCGGGGTGCAGCATGGCAGGGAGCTATTTTGGAGAGAGGGTGGGAGCAGGGATGGGGTGAGCAAAGTTTCTGAATGAAGCAAGGGAATGAGGCAGAAGGAGATGCGGGGGACACATCCTCCTGAGGTTGGAACATGCCAGGCGTGTTCAGGGAACAGCGAGGCCAGTGTGGCTAGTGCAGTGAGCAAGGGGGCGATTAGTGGGGGGACATGACACGGGGCTTGTGGGCAATTCTGATTTGTTTGTTAGCCACCCCTGATGCTGCACAAACTCGCCTGCTTTCCTGGGTTTGGCTCCAAGATGACGCCACCCTGAGCACCTCTGCACACCCAGAGCAGGAGTCCAAAGTTGCCTTTCTTGCCATAAACAAGCCCAGATGGGGGCTTCCGTTCTGGGGGGGATGGGGCCCAGGAGAGCAGTCACCGGAGTGGGACGCAGGGGGGAGGGGGTGTCTGCAACAGAGCTGGCCGGTCTTGCTGCCTTAAATAGGCAGCGCTGGGCGCCTGCCCTCCCCGCCCCTCCTCCCTCCTCCCCTCCCTCCCACCGCCCAGACAAGCCGCTTTTGTCTGAGGGTCAACCGTCAGCTCCCGCTGCTGCCACCTCTGGCCTCACCCAGACCCTGTGGGACTCTTCCCGGCTCTGGCCCCATTTCCCGAATTGGTGTTAAGTTCTAGTGTCTTAGAGACCCCAGCGGCGTCGTTTCAGGCCCTGCCCTCACCCGCAGTCCCTGTCACACTCCCCTCGAAGAGTTTTCACCGTCATTTTTCACACCTGATAGGAAATGGTCTCTTCCTGCAGCAAGAAGGGGCCAGGGTAGACTCCACAGACATTCCCTAGGGGGATGAGGAGCGGTGGGTGCACACTGGGGGCTTCTGGGTGGGGAGGGAGCAAGAGCAGGAGGCAGACGTGGTCCCAGGGGTTAAAGGAACCACTGAGGCTAGGAAGGCCTTGCCGCTAGGCATGGGGGTTCTTTCCGAAGTGAGGAGCAAAACATATGAGCCCGCCAGTTTATCCCTGTGAGGGAAGGGGTCAGTGTGCACCAGAAAGGACTCAGGAAACTTGCAAAAGAACTTTCTATCGGTGGCTAAGGGGAAGCAGGAGGAGAGGAGAGCATCTGAGAAGAAAAGGTCAAGGATGGGAGAAGGCGGACCAATGGCTAGGGGATCTGCTAGGTCCTGGACCCTAACTTCTAGCAGTGAAATGCCTCTAAGGCAAGAAGAACTGAAGTTAGACTCGAGGAGGGACATTCTAATAGGGGTCAAGGGGCCATGAGCACAGATGGAAGAAGGCAGGGGGGAGGGATGGGTCCTAGAAGGGAGTGAGGTGGCTGCAGCGAGGACTGGATTTAGCCAGAAGGACTTTCTCATGGATAAAGGGGCAGAGATCTTTGAAGGGGATCCTGGGACTCCGGTCCTGCTTTGACCCTTTTGAAGTCAGAGCCTCGTGGTCAAGGTGGAACTCTGCCCGTGAACTCCTGGAATAGGGGACTGGAACAGGCAGAGGCCTTGGGGGTGACTTCTGACCACCCTGCTCTTGCCACGCCTTCAGGAGGCCTTGCCCGGACTCATCTGGGACCTGGGCCAGCAGCTGGGAGACCTGAGCCTGGAGTCTGGGGGCCTGGAACAGGAAAGTGGGCGCAGCTCAGGTGAGCATGGGTCAAGGGAGCAGGGGCAGCTGGGATACCCCAATGTTTTCCACTGTCCCCCCCCTCTAGCTCCCCTGTCTCTGTTGCTTGGTCTCCTCCTTTCTCCACGCCCTGGTTTCCCCAGCAAAGCGCCCTTTTCGTCTCTCCGTTTCTCCCCAATCCAGGCTTCTACGAAGACCCCAGCTCCACAGGAGGTCCTGACTCTCCACCCTCGACCTTCTGTGGGGACAGTGGCTTCTCTGGATCTGGCTCCTATGGACGCCTGGGTCCCTCTGAACCCCGGGGCATCTATGCCAGTGAGAGGCCCAAGTCCCTAGGTAAGGTGGGGGGGGGAGGGGGGGGGGGGGGGGCCCTGACAGCCAGGGAAATGACAGTGAGAAGATGGTCTTGAGCACACTTCTGAGTCAAACCAACCTGAATTCGAATTCTGGCCGCGACATTCCCTTTCGCGTGGTTTTGAGCCTGTCGCTTCTCTCTGGGCCTCCGTTTCTCCATCTGTTCAAATGGGGTTAATAGCAGCGCCTGCCTCCTAGGGAACCTTTGAGTATTCAGCGAGCCTCGGCCTTAGGCAATGAACTCGGCACAGGGAGCCTCTCAGTCATCAGGAACTGCTGCGGTTCATTTACACCAGTTCCTGCGCCCCGACTGGGTGCTGTCCTAGCCCTGTCCTGGGGGTGAGGGGTACAGCAATGAAAAAAGCCCTGTCCTCACAACTGACCCTCTAGTGGGTGAAACAGGTAACATACAAGATAAGTAAGTGCACTACATGGGGTATTAGACATTGACAAGTACAATGAAAAGGAAACTGGGGGAGGGGACTGGGGCATGTCACTCTGAGTTGGGGAGAGAATCGAAATTTTACAAAATATGCTCAGAGAGGGCATCGCTGAGACTGTGACATTTGAGTGGCACCACGAAGTGAGGGAGTGGACCAATCAGGTATCCCGGGGGAAGAGCATGGCAGGAACTGGTAACAGCAAGTGCAAAGGCCCTGAGGCAGAGTGCGGCTGGCCTCTGCATCCGGAGGTCACTCTGGCTGGAGACCTGTAACTATGGAGGAGCGGGTTAGAGATGGAGGTCAGCGAGGCGGAGCAGGGCAGGTCACGCAGGGCTTTGCAGGCTGCTGTGAAGATGTTAAGAACCGGAAACAAGGGAAGGGGTGAGGGCAGGGTTCCTTCCCTTCCACTTTGCCTTTCCTTTCCTATTTTATTTATTTTATTTTTTCTTCCTTTCCTTCCTTTGTGATGGGAATGGGACATAGTGGGGAAATGCCCCTGTAGGCGCATTGGGAAGGGGCTTGAGAGCCTCTCCCACTCTTCCTTTTACCTGTTGCTTCCTCCACCAGGAGACGCCAGCCCCAGCGCCCCCGAGGCGGCGGGAGCCCGGGCACC